CAGAGGCCCAACTGCCCAGGAAGCAAAATCCTGTCAATATATGGACAGGAAGATGCTAGAGAGGCATCTCACCCTTGGATGCCTCTGGTGATTCCATAAGGCCATCCCAACACACAATGGCGGGGGGTACCAGGAATTGAACTCAGGAACTCACACTTGCCACACAAGCACTGTACCGAGCTACATTCCAGGTCCCCAGCACACATTTGTACTAAAGCTCTGGAGCCTTATTTCCCTGGCTCAAACATCAAGTGTCTATAATAAAACTTAGCGGCAACCCAGGCAGCACCGTGCCTCTCCCATGGCACAGGCTCCAGTATCCAGAGCTGGGGACCTGTCCTCCAGGGGACTGCCTGTCTTGCTGAGATCACCCAGGAGTTCTGGACAGCAAAGGAAGCAAAAGCGATTGACAAGGTAGGCCTCACTCAGCCACACATGAGCCTTGGAGGCACCAGTCCAGCTCAAAGGGAGCTGCCCAGCCTTACACTAAGAGGTTCACAGTGATACATGTCTATAAGAGATTAACATTAGCAAGAATGCTGAGGAAAGTACAGCATGCCTATAATCCCAACACTCTCGGAGGATGAGGCAGGAGGATTCCAAGTTTGAGCCAGGCCTGTATAATTTAGCAACTTAATGAGACCCTGTCTCAAAATAAAAATAAAAAAAATTTAAAAAGGGGTTGGAATGTAGTTCAGTGTGAATGCCCTGGATTCAATCTCCAATACCATAAAAAACAAACAAAAAAGCCATCAGTAAGAATGAATGGAGGGGGTGCACAACCTTGGTATATACCTTTAAATCTAAGAGTAGTCTCAACTCACCGCACTGCCCCAGAGCAAGGGGGTGGGCAGCCCACTCCACTTCTTTCTGAATTCTCACAGCTACTCCATGCATGGTGTACACTTCATTTCACATAGGGAGAATCTAAGACTCAGAAAGGTACATCAATGCATGCCAAGACACACAGCAGAGTCAAACTAGACTTCTATAAGTCTAACTCTCCACCAGGGAATATGCCTATCACAGCAACCCTATCTGAAATTTTCTGGGTACTCTGCAGTGTGAGGACAGCTACGGCCTAGTAAGAGCCATTGTGCACATGGGTAGGCGTAACTGTTGGCATCTTAGCTATATGGACCTCCCAGATGTCAGGTTTCCAAAGTCACAGGGCCTTAAAATTGAGACACCTTGTAAAGAGATGACCACACACTCAGCAAGGACCAGCAATCACGGCAGAGGCACCAGAGAAACCATAGCACCAGAACTGGCAGTCAGAGCACATCCTCACTGCTAAATGAAACATGGCCTCATGACCAACACAATCCTGCCCAGAGCACACGATGCTAGGGATTCTGCCAGTTAGTAATCTCTACTTCTCTTGCCAAGCAGCTGACTGAAAGCTGGTACTCCCACTCACATGCCATCTCCTAGCCCTGTCTGTAAAATGCCTCTTTCCAACCCTAAAATTCGCCAGAACCGAGCACATCCAGAGTGGCCACAGAAAAGGACTGCAGGGGTACAGTCATAGGAACTGCCATGCCTGCTTCCAAAGACCTATCCAACGCCACCATATATACAACCAAGAAGCAAGGCCAGCAGCCCTGGTTTGAAGGGCAGAAGTACATGGGCAACCAGTTTTTTTCCAGGCATGGCTCAGCTGTAGAAGGACCCTCTTCATCACACAGGCTTCCAATCACATAATACTGGTGGTTTCCCTTCACCTCCTAAACTATCTTTACACTCAAGCAGGGGTTGGGTTCAGCTACAAACAAACTGTTTTCAATCATGTCTCTGAAATACAACAGCATGAAATACAAAGAGCCATAACCAAAACAAATCAAATAGAAAGGCTTTACAAAGGACTTCCCAGGGGCAGCTCAGGAAGGAGTATTATGCCTAGCTTGACCCTAAGGAAAATATGAGAAAAATGACACAGGACAGCAGATGAGCAGATGATGAAAAGCACAACACAGCCACAGTCCCACTGGAGGAAGTCTCAGGAGGAAGTGAAAATTCACTCAGGCTATCTAGAAAAAGAACTTCAATGGCAGCACGGGGCCCCAAGTTGGCCCAAGACAAGAGGGCAAGGGTCTAGGGTTCATAGGGCATAGTGGACAGTGGGTCCTAAGCTGGGTTCTGAAGATGTACATGTGGGGCAGTCACAGACCACAGGTTTGAATCAGTCAAGCAGCCCCTGGATGTGCCTGTATCTGCGTTCCACCACACAACCTGACAGACACAACCTGTCTGTTAATATCTTTAGAAAATACTCTCTAGAAATCTCTCCAGTAACTGGTTGACCTGCTTGGGGGGGCAGGGCTACAGGTCTGTATTTAGCACTCTCCCCAGAGTCTGAAACAGCAGTTTCCTGGAAGGTTTCTTAGGAGATTTCCCCCCTCAATTCTCCCCAACCAACTCCCATTCCAGTGTCTCAAAGTCCTTGTGCTCAATAAACACCAGTCAAGTACCAGGCAGGATATTCTGCAGCAGGTCACAGTTAAAGTTAAACTTTAGGAATATCTGCCAGGTATCCTTTTATTAATCTTAACTATGAAGTCAGGGTTTAAAGATCTTTACACATGAATCAACATCCTGTTTATCTCCCATCATGTAATTAATGGCCTCCCACTGTGAACATCCCTTCTTCTCCACCCTCCTCAAATTCCTCGCTAAGGATTTAATTATTGGAGAAGACTCCTGGGACATTCTTTCATCAGAAGCTGGGGGGGGATGTGAGAAGACAAAATTTTATACATTTTCTCACTCTAAGTGGAATACTCTAGTCACATGACTAATATGAATTAGTATTACTCTTTCTAGCAATTTATGTGACTGAAACTAACCCCTATGTAATACTATCAACTATTTTGTGAGACAGAGACAGTAAATGGTGCGTTTCATGTTTTGAATTTTGATTTTACAATTTGGAAATCAAATGTGATTAAATGGTGATTTCTTTGCTTGTTTGTTTTGGTACCAGGAATTGAACTGGGAACTGGGGATCTTTTTCTTGCAAGGTAGGCAGTGGAACCACTGAGCTAAATCCCCGGCCCATTAAATGGTGATTTAAATTTTTTTAAAAAATTACAACCGTGATATATACTAATAGATTTATCCACACACACAAGGATCTCTATTACAGAAAGACATAATTTTTAGAGTAGTCTTAAAAGACAGCAAAATTAAGGGATGAATCAAGAGGCTCTGAATCCATTGCTCCAGTGTTATATGCAACAGCCCTTGCTTCAAAAGGTCCCAATAGATAGGAACAATTTAAAATCTGATTTGTCATTGTTTTCTTTTTTTGGTACCAGGGATCGAACTCAGGACCTCACGCTTGCCAGGCACATGCTGTGCTGCTGAGCTACATCCCCTGCCCTAAAATCTGATTTAATAAACAAAACAGGGACGTGTAAGTAAAAAAGGCAAGTGAATGATCACTAAGGCCCACTGTTTAAAAAGAAAGCCAACAGTAAAACATACACTCACGCCACATAAGAAAAATCACAGCCGACAAAAATCTATTTCTATCCTAGAGATGGCTGTCATTTTCTGGGAGGTCAATTCTCTAATAAAAGACTTAAGTCAAATAAGCAATGGGAATAGCTGGAGATAGGGCAGGGTGGGGAGATGGACCTGCAGTGGCAACTCAAACCCTGATTTCTGCCCACGATGATTTTGTGGCAACCCAAAGAGTTTTCATTTCCTGATCATAAGGTCAAGCCACACACCAAGAACTGTCGCTGTGTCAGTATTCTGGAAGTGAAAAGTGCTTCTAATCTTTCTGGAGAGTCTCCTGCACAGCAAGTATCAGGTTGACAAGGCACAAATTCAAGTGCAACTACATAAGCACAGCTGAAAGACCCGCCAAAGTTAGTATAAAGCTCGTGAACTGCCTAGGGAAGAAAAATAAATTAATTAATTTTAAAAAGGTCTTCCTCAGACCTTTTTCTGAGTTTCAGTCTTGTAAGATCCCAAGACACTTTTCCTCAGCCACTCAACTCTTGTAAAAGCAATAAACAAGACAATTTGTTCCCACCTGCACAATAGTATGACCATTTAATTTGATGGCATACAAGCTGCAAACTGACCTGGAAATTCCTACACTTTTGCAAGGGCAGTGGGAAAAGTAAGCTATGTAGAAAGCAGACTGAAAAAAGTTTCCTACCTGCCGGCCCCACCCCTAAGTCATTCCATAATTTGAACAACATTCTTTTTGAAAAAAATCTTACTGTGGGACTGCACCTTCTAAGAGCTGCGGAGCTGGTGCGTGTTGTAGATGAGAAGTGTGAAGCATCAACTCTCTAAATGCAAGTCACGGGCAAAAAGAAGGCCATTGTCAACCCCTATCACTACGTTAATTTATGTCTGGAGTGTGGAAAGAGATGAACGGGTTCTCCGTTTTCAGAGCCAGCAAGTACGCTGGATCGTATAGCAGATATTCACACACCCTAGGCGTAAGAATCCAGGGAGAAAAAGAAAGTACTGACTTCCCGGGTGCGGGGAACCACCTCCTCCTTCACCGAAGAGGTGGGAAAGCTTCAAAGACAAGCGACCCCGAAGAAGCGACAGGGTCTCCCCGAGGCAGGTGGGCGCTGGGG